CAAACAATTCCAAGGAATTGAAACAGTGGGAACCGGTTCTCAACAAGAACCGGGTTTCGATACCCATCCCTACCCAGAACAGCTGCAAAGAGACTAGTGAGGGACTTAAAGAGTGGAGGAGAGCTAGGACACATAACTTAAACATAAAAACAGACTGATTTACTAGAACTTTAAGTCAAGGTTATAAAAAACTTCAAACAAAAGAGCAAACGTTATAACTTAATACTGTTGAGTTCTAAGGATATCAGCAGTTCAGCTGATATTTGTTCACCTATTATAAAGCTAAGTTCTCATAACTAACTGCCTGACGATGCATACAAGAGAAACAGGAGAACAAACCAGCTGCTCTCCACTGAACGATTCATGATGTACTCTGAGTGGCAGGGGAGCAACATGAGGCCACTGTGACGGTAAATATGTCGCAAATGTAAGAAAAAAATCTGAACTTGTATTTTTACATTTTCAGTTTAGTTTTTGTGTTTTAAACACAGTGACGGCTTCAGCCTTGTTATTGTTAGGTGGCCCTGGTCCTTTTGCTCGAGCCACTGTGATGTGTTGATGCATATGAATGACTTTGAGTTTGCTTGTGCTGCAGTTAAAGTGAAGCTTAGAGGAGCTCAGGATAAAATGACACAGCTTTTTAACAAGAAGGCTGAAGACCAGACTGTGGACCCTGGGGGTTTGGGTTTTGGCACTGATGCCTGTGATAGGTTCACCTTTCCAGTCAAGGCTTAGTGGACCTTTCACTATTAAAAGCACTTTATTAGACAGGGACTACTTGATGCAAACACCAGAGAGGAGGAATAATTGGTGGTGTCATGTAAACCTCTTAAAGCGCCATAATACTGCTACTTCTCTTCCTGAACTAAGCAGTGATAGCCACTCCATAAAGTCTGAATCAGTTCTGCAGGCAAACTGAAAAATTATTCACAGATCCACCTGCGTCCCTACCTTGATGTGTTGCATCAGAGAGTCACTCTGCTCCTGGCCCTCCAAGCTCTCCTTTGGATCAATCAGGCTGAGCCCACACAGCCGGTCCACCAGAGTCTCAGCCTTCTTGAGACCAGGGCGAGCCAAGCCAGCCTCAGCATGCCCTACGTAAACCGCTGCTGACGGAGAGAGAATAGTTTTTGTTTGTATTTTTCTTAAGGTCAGAAATCTCAAAATCACACACCTCCAAACCCTGACAATTAATCTGAACTCTTTTGGATAAAGAGATGGAAATAAATCCATTGCAGTGAAGGTGAT